GGAGACGCATCGAGAGCGAGCGAAGCAGCGGAAAGCGCAGCGGATCGACGTTAATCACCAACTATCCCCTCGGTCTATCGACTATTCCCCGATTTCCATACATACATTTCATATATCCAGACAAATGTTAACGGTGTATCGCGTCGGATGAGCATAGGCCGATGCACGCCGGTAATAAAGATAATCAGGGGCGGTGGTGGGCAAGCAACCCTGCCGGTTGCCCCTTCTCGCGCGGCTTTGCGATTTACGATCGAATCGAAAATCTCGTTCGCCCGGTTTCGAAGGCAGGGTTTGTCCCGCGCGGACGAGGGTCGTGGGGAGGGAAGGGTAGCAGAGCGGCGGCGACGACGAGGAGGAAATCGTTGCATCGCTGGAAAACGAAAAACGGCGCCGGCCGTTCGTCGTCGGCCTCCCTCGGCCTCGACCCGCCCGCGTAATTGCGTTAATGCGCGGATAGTGCGCGCCACACCACGGATAATCCTCGCGGCTGTGCGCGCCGGTTTATCGCGAAATAATTGAAATTTGCGGTCAATTTTGCCGAGTAATCAGCCGTGTTTGAAATAACGTCGGTGCCGCGCCCCTCTCCCGCCCTGCCCACGGGGGGCCCGATTGTAAATTAATTATGCAGACGAACTGCGCGCCATTAATTTTCATCCGTTATGCCGCGAATCGTTGCCAACGCGGGCCGCTGCTGCGAGGGGATCGATTTCGATGGGGGTATCAATGGGGGTGTAGAATGAAATCCTGTATCGACGGCGAATTTCGCATCGTCTTTGTGCGAGGAGCACGCGAAAGTAAGCTGGATTGAAATTCCATCGACAGGATGGCGGCACGGTTGATAATCTCGACGCGTATAATTAATACCGCGTTGATTACCAGTTCATTGTCGGTCGATTATGGTGTCCGCGTGGAGAGGAATCGCGCGCCTCTGACTCTCGTTTCGAAACAGCCCGATCCGACTCTCATCGTGACTCGACGATGAATCTAATACGGTGCGTCCGATACGTCCGATTTGATTAAACGCACGATCGTTGTCCAGATTTCTTCCACACGTTCGAAGAATAATGCGAAAGTTTTAAAAAAAGTTTTAAAAAAAGTTTTAAAAAAAGTTCCCTACACGTTGCGCGCTCGTTTAGTACGAGTGTTTCTTCTTTTTTCTTTTCTTTTTTCTTCTTATTAGCAGCCAATTGAATATTTTTCACGACCGTTTTTCGGTAATTATCGAAAACCGATAAAGGGAGGAGGGAGGAATTCGATTCTTGCCACGATCTCGAATGTGTTTAACTAAAATTACAATTTCGAGTTTGGACCGAAGTTTTGACCGTGGTAGGTTCATTCGTTCGATTCGATTTCCCCGACTGCTCCTCCACCACCTTCGCTCGTAATTTTCATAGAAGCCGGTCGATCGGGTAACGCGAAGGGGCGGCAATGAGCCGTACACAACGAGGCGAGTGAGTCGTCAAGTGTAGTGACGTGTTTCAATCCAGAGACTTTCTACACGGATGCGCGGCTTGCGCGGGTAGCGGTGATTGACAGGCTGGATTGGTGAAGTTGCCGCGCAAGATATTGCATGTGTTATCGCGAGTGTTGCCGGCTGACAATAGATCAAAACCAAGTGAGGAACGCGCGAGGAAGGGGTGGGCCGAGTACTTGCGCGCGGCCCCAATATACGAGCCTGTCAAACTTTATGACGAGGGATTTCGATGCTTGATGAATGAACAGGCCCCGTCCCTTTTCCGCCTCGCGCACAACCCCCGCAACCTTCTCCACCATTCTGCCCGCCACCATTCAACTTCGCGATACGAGGGCGGCCATTGTCGGGGAATTTGTCCAACGATCGCGGTGCAAAAGGGGCGGCGATAGATACATCTTCGATGTCCAGCCTCCAGGGAGGGGTGAGTCGGTGGATGAGTGGGTGGACAACGGTGGCCACGTTCCATGATTTTCAAAGTGGACGCTCGACCGATTCCAACCGCGTGCATTTCGATAAAATCGACGGAGGGTTCGTGGATTTCGATTCGTTCCGCGCTCGCGAAGGGGGGATCGTAAACCACGAAATTTTCGATAATTGTCGCGGGATTAATGAAAGGTATACACTTGTTGGAGAAAAAAAAATTGAAAAAGGCTTTGGATGCGTTCTCGTTCGCGAAATTCCCGCTTTTCTTCGACGATCGTTCCAAGCCAAACGTAGTCATCACTTCGACTCGTAAAGGTTCCATTTCCTTCGATAATAAGAATTCATTAGAACCGTTTTTCTGAAAGTAACGAGCGATCAAAGAGGAAAAGAAATGCAAATCCGTGTAAAAGCTTTCACAAAAGTGCGTGAAATAAATATAAAATTCATTAAGAATTTTTTTTAGAGAAGAAGCATCAAATTTTAACGATCTCGTTTCCTTTCGATGAACGGTTTAATAGCAGATGTGACGAGACGTTTTCGAAAGGAATCGCGTTAAAATGCTCGCGATTTAAGAAATGTCAGCCGATTTTTCCACGCGATTCTACTCCTTAAATGCGTTTGCTCGCGACGTTTATGGAGGAGCGTGTACATGACGGAGCCTCTAGCGCGCTACGTTTCAACGACTCTGCGTTAAATCTCGGAGAGGAAAAAGAAAAAAAGAGAGAGAGAGAGAGAAAAAAAATACGAAGCACGCCTAAAAAACGGACGCATATCGACGCCACACGTTGAGAAACTAGCTATATATATATACATATATATAGGTTTAAAACAGATAGCATTCCGGCTGGATATAAAAATAAATCGACGGAATAAAATTTCTCTGAATCCGGATGAAACGCGAACCAATAAACGAGCAGGCAAGAGGGTGAGTTTCGATTC